CTATCATAGTGATATCAGCATGATTACCAGGACCCAACATGCTGTTTTTGGAGTTGCCAGTGCTTCCAGTGGCTTATAGCTGAAGATCCTGTGAACACAAAGCTTTTCACTCGCTCTCCTGTGACCTGATTGAGATTAGGAATCAACCCCTGGCTAACAACACTGCACTAACTGTGCTGACATTTAATATCAGCTGTTAGTTACACACTAAAATACATCTTACAGTGCAGACACAGCTTTAACAAGGCCCAGACCGCCAACCTTGCACATGCATATATGCATGTCATGCATGCATGCGATACATGTTGAATAAGCAAAGGCATAATGGAGGACAGACCAGTGGATGTCACAGTCTCTCCATGATGTTCACTCACTAGTTGGTCAAAGTGCCTCTTTATGAACATTTGACAGCAAACAACGGAGAGAGAAAAAGATAAGACAAAGTTCTCAAATGCATGTAGTGTTTCGTACTGGATCTGGGCTGGAACTAATTTAATGCCCAAGTGACCTCACTGGAGCAAAGGCAAGTTGCACCTAATAGACTTCTTTGTCTGCATCCACACATGTGACTGAGAGTGGCTGTTGAGCGGGTCGATGAGGCAGCAGGTGGGAGCAATTAAAACTGTCATAAAGTTTGAAAAATGGATCGCAGAGCAGCGCTGAGCTGATTGGAACAGACAGTGTTGTCATTAAGGTTATGCAGAAACTAAAGCGGGGTGAATAAGTAGGCCATACAACCCCAAACGTGTTGCTGCAGTTTGATTTCACTGCTAATGTTTGAGTTTCCAGATGTTTCTCTGGAGTGGCCTTGATTAATGTTATTATTAAGGAATGCCTGTTCTATTTCTCCGAGCATTTGTGTTTTTTAAGTAGTCGTGATCCTTATTATTTCAAGAGAAAACCACTTTTTGAGGGGGGAGAGCTGACAGTTTTAAACTGGTCTGGAGCCTCCATGGATCAGGCTTTCTCCAGTTCCACACAAACTGGTGGGGACTTTGTTGTTTTCCGCAAGCTCTTCAACTTTCAGTTACTTTAAAGTAGATTTCAGTTAGAAAGCAGTCTCTGCTTTTTCAATGGCCGTTTCATTTTGTCCGTCGCGTCTGTTCATCTGGTGATAACTTTGCTTTGCCATCAGATGACGTATCCTTTAACTCCTTTTACTAAACCTTAGAGGTTCAGCATTGTCTTCATCTGTTGCTCTGTGTTCAGTAGTGATGTGAGGATCGATCCTGAAATATCGATACCGATCATTTATGTTCTAGAATCGATTCTCACATTAAAATATCGATATTTCAGTAATTTAGGGTAAATTTGTAGTTTATCATTAACAGGAACACAGTGGAAAGAAACTATATCATTCGGATTGTCTACAATTAGAAGGAACTACTTCCTCTTCCGCCTTTCACAGTCATGTGTGAAACACGGCTGTATAAATGTGGCAGCCTCTGGCGTGCGCACTCACAACAGTGGCTGAGTGTAAATGGAGTCATGTGTGGACGTGTTTTACCTCCACAAACAGCCGAGACGTGGTTTGCGATACATGTGGCAAGAAAGTGAGGTGCTGTGGCAACACCACAAATTTGTCAAACACCTCAGAGTAAATCATATCA